CATTCAAACTTGTTGCTTTCCAATAATCTATTATGTGAATTTACACAATTTTATTTTACGATGTTATTGTTAAATTCAGTTTTTCTTTTGCCGGCAGAGGTGTGCAATAGCGAGGAGGTGCCCGAGGTAGAGATTATTAGTCTTCTTCAAGAGCACATACCGAAGTACCGCCTACGAGCTGACAGCTTAACACAATTTGGAGGTATTTATCACTTGTGATCATTATGTTTGTAAAGTAAAAAAGTAAAAAATGTTTTATTTGACGAAACAGAGCGACATCACATTTAGTTACATAAATTACATAAAGAAGATAAACATTGTGCCCTGCTGTCAAATAGGGGCCCGCTCAGCATTAATCGGGGCATGCCATGGGCATGCCTCGACACCGATTTTCAGCGGGTCCCTTGACGTTGCTGCGCCCTACCGCCGAAGGAGAAGCACTCCGTAAAGTACCTGTCCGTCGGCGGGAACACGCAATAAGGGGGCGGCAAAAATGTACCCATAAAAAACAAACACAAAAATCAAATAAAAAATAATAAAAACAAAACAACAAATCAACAAAACCAACATTTATGCAATCTACGACAAAACAGGGTTTGCATTACATATTTTTAGATCGACTCCGCGGAAAACGATACAACTGGTCGCCAAAGTAATTTTCCGACATGTTACTTAGTTCCTTCGTAGTTTTTAATACTTACTTATTTGCAGAATTGCACTTTGATAGGCTGTAATATCCAAAAGTTTACAATTAGATTTTAACCTGCAGAATTGCACCCAACAGATAAAATAGATAACGATTAATTTATTGACGCCCAAATATAGTGAATGGACCAGATTCGCTTTATAAAGCAACCATTGATAAGACCCTGCCATTATTTCTCACGTAACTTTGTAATTACTTTCACTTTGGAAGTGATCGAGGGTCTGATTACTAAAATGTCTTTTTAATGTGAATGAAAATAAACTAAATTCTCATTCGACCTAAATAAATTAGTCGGTCGACCGTAGAAGATTTTACCAGGTCAATGTTCATGAAGTGGGACGCAACCTATTTTTACGTTACCATTTGGTTTCTACGCTGCGAATTATTTGGCATTTCGTACCGCGTGTAGTGCGGCATTAGCTAATGCAAAGGACGGGTTGGGTTGCACGACCTGCCTCGCTATTAACAATGAGAGTGGAATGGTAAAGCAAGGCCTCTTGCGAGAGCTCTACTCGTTAAATGTCAACCTCCGTGACCGCCGTTCACAGATTCATTTTCTAATAGCGCAGTCTCTCTTCCAATAAAACATAAATAAATTGCAACTCTACCTCAGAAACTCATTATTTCCATGATGCACAATGCAGGCATACGCGCCTATGGCGATGCTTGAATAGAATCTATCGTCATTAGACACATGGCAAGAAAGTACGTATTTCATTACAAGCGGCATGTGCGCTTTCTACGTGCCAGTAACATTTCTTCTAGCATTAATGATGTGAATCTAGTTAGGCAAAGCATTTTGTCCAATTTTATGGAGAACAGGCTGCGTTCGTGACTTCATTCGTGCCAATCGTTTTCCCGAGTGGGGCTTTATTGTTCACGATTATGTAACTTCATGAAGGTCTACTAAGACTTGCACCAATTAAGAGATCTCCCATTTATATGTGCATGAGTGCTTTAAATGTAGAGTCAAGCTAGACTGTTAATCTACGATATGAATTGAAATAAAATTTGCCCCAGACTTAAGTTAGGTAATGTGCAATCGTCAATGCCAATAAAACTAAAATTTACTCATTAATTTACATTGCTTAATGACAGTAGATATTTTATACAGACAAAATATTCTGAAGCCATTTTTCACTTCCAGCCAGTCTTCACTGGATCTAAATAAAACCTTGACTCTGGTTTTTCTAGTCATTTGGACATTGAGTCACACTTCCTAGCTAGAGTTTTACTAATGTGCAGATAAATTATATTGCAATAATTTGGGCAGTGATTTTTAATGAAGGGAAGGGCCATACGTCGTATAAGGAGTATCTGAAAATTCAGCGAAGTCTGCTTCTATATGCGTTGTTCCGTCCCAGTAAGTGGATGAGGTGCGGTTTCCGGCGCCGGCGCCGCTCGGGAATGCTATAAATAATGGTGTCTCACCGCGAGTCATCGTCCGCGAGCGCCTGCGACCGGTCTGATGCGTGCCGTATGTCAACCCGCTCCAGGCAGCATTCAGCATTACTTACGGTTTACTCGATTAGCACTAATGTACAAACGACGGCACAGGTTACCACTAGCGTCTTATGTAGTTGTTATATGTGCCATTTTCCATAAAAATGCAGTCTTGTGTGCTGTTGGCTGTACTTACTTAGCTATTTCGCGTCTCGAGTGGCTTGATATTCCGTTGCCTTCATCCTTGTTCTTAGAATGACTTCAAATGTATGTCTCGTAAACAAGATTGAAGTGTTTATGGCTCTACCTAAATTCATCAGTGTTGTGAATCACACTGTGATGTATAAATATCAAATTCGAGTCTGCATAAGTGACGTGATGCAACTATGCATTTCTCTATGGATTCTTACAAGTGGGCCAAGTGATAGTTCAATTTGAAAATTACTATCACATAAATACTTGTCATAACACTAATGAATATTAATAGCGTCATAATTATTTTTTGATGAGTTATTGGCATTAATTATGACGACAAATGAATACGAATTGGAATTATTGTGGGAAATTATTAGGTACTTACACCCTAAATATTTTAAATAGTCCCTTTGTCATTTATTAAGGAGGAACACAGAAACATCTGTTCTTTAAGTCGCTATTGTTTGTAATTGTGTAATAAACTTACTTTATAAGATAAAATGTTCAATGGCTTCCAAGTCTAATAAGGCAACATTGTGTAACAAACCTACTTATTAGTTTGCGCAGCATGTAACATATGAGATGGAGAACAATGATTAACGTGTCGTATAGAGCAGACTGTGAGAATGTAGCGCGAGTTTAATTTAGATTTTCATATTCATATTAATTAGATTTTCAATCAAGTAGGAAGTTGAATTGTGTCTGTAAAGATGCATGATGACACATCACAATCAAAACGTCCAACTTCCAACCCACCCCACTTTGGGGTGAGGCATATGCCCTGCCCTGCCCCACCTTGCTAGGTACATAGGTACTATTTTCCCCTTTTTAGGGTGCCGTACAAGTTTTTAAGCAAATTAACCCTTCACAGATCACTCTTGTGTCTAGATGTCTATCTGTTTTTTGCAGGCAATTTTCGCAGAAATTGCGTAGAGATACTTTCGCGGAGAGGCACAAAATTGATAAGCGAAATAGTACAAAGATGATAAGTGTCCAATTAAATCAGAAATCAACTTTTGATAGTATTAATTTAGATAGATTCTATTAAATCTAAACGTAAGTTAATAACTTTACAGTTCATAGTAGACAAAACACTGCTTAATTTTTTTAATAAAAAAATCACATAAACAACCCAGTGTTTACAATAGTATGTGATTAGTAGAACTATGATAACCTAGGGTTAGTGTTATTTTTTAAAGTCGCCAAAAAGGGGATATAAGTACGCGAAAGTGCAGTATAATAAACGCTGGTTTGCTCTTGGATTTTATAAAGAATTTACTTGACATTGAGCGACTTAATTTAAAACAACGCGAGAATACATTCTGCTTGTTACTGATCATGAATTGCTCTGGGAATTGATATGAATCAGCTATCCCGTGACGTCAGTCTGCCGGCAGGGCCCGCAAGTAGCGTTGCTCCGTACGTTACGATGAAAATAACCGCACTCAACCAATTTTGCTTGGTACATTCCATAACATTTCATACATTTTATAGTTGTTTTTTAGGTCTATTTTTGTATTTTATAACATTTGAATTTTCTACAGGTTTATTTGATATTTTTCAGGATACGAGAACCAAGATTGGTTCATACCATCGCCGGCGCTGCCAGTCAGCCCCAAAGACCTCAAACTCACGCCTGACCAGATCAGGGAAACGCTCAACTACTTCCGTGAGTACTCATTTACATTATATTATCATTAATCTTACTTGACCAATCGATAGCTACTCTGACTTAATCACGGATCGTTGCATTCACCTGTCTCCTTTTACGTAATTGTATGCATTTTTAAACGCTAAATATTGGTTTTCGGATCGCATAACACAATCGGTATTGCTAATTAATATTTAAATAACCAGTATTTTGTTTTCGAGTGTGATGTAGTGTCGTATACCGTATAGGTGTAGGTATTATGCAGTAACGGATAGCGTATGAATTCGTGTCACCACTCGTGGTAATATGAACGTTAATTCATGTAACAATATTTAAATTTTATCTTTGCCTTTCTAGAACTAGGACAATGTGAAACGAACGAATGGTTTGTTTAAACATTAACATCAGTATCAAGGATTGTTGCTATTCTTATTTGACTTAACAATGGGGTTACGTCCGTGTTATGCACTTGTGTCAATTTATTACATTAGCCCTCGTGTGTTTCGTGCAACTTTATTATAGACTAGACATTTATTGTTTCGGGGAAGGTTTTAATTAGACCTTAACGCAGTCGGTGAATTATTCATATATTTTTTTAAATGGAAATAAGTCAATTACAAATTACTGTTTTGATTGGCTATGTGTATTCATGAAGGCAAGTTTTACAACATGATTTCGTTAATTCCGCAAACGAGTCGCATTCGAATCAGTACCTCTAGTAGGAAAAACTTTCGAGTTCGTTTCGTTGCGTATTCAAAGTGTCATCGAAAAATTTTGTATGAAAAATTAAACAGCGCCCCCTAGGGCGGCTATAATATAGGGGGCGCTGTTTAATTTTTCATACAAAATTTTTCGATGACACTTTGAATACGCAACGAAACGAACTCGAAAGTTTTTCCTACTAGAGGTACTGATTATTTGCGTTCGTAACGAGTGGTCGGTACGGGCGCGGCGCGCGTGCGCGTTCCGGCGGAGCAGTGCCGGTCGCGCCGGTAGCCACGCGGCACGCGTCTCTTCGCGGCGATCAATACCCGCCGCCGCCGCCCGCCCGCCGACCCACGCCCGCCGCCTTGCGCCTTCGCCCACCGTGCGCGAAACACACGCAACGCGTCTCGCGCACCCACCGCCGTCGCCGCCGGTCGCGCTAAACATAGATGAGGTGCATTGTTGCACTGACTCACACCAGTCCACCGCACGCATAAGCCATAACTCGTTGCCAAATTTTTAAATTCCGTGCCTTTCATCCAGTGTCAATTTGAATTTAATAATCTATTAATCTCGGTCTTCCGTTTCCGAAATCCAAATTGCACATTGGCGTAGAAAAATTATTAGATGCAAAGTGGGTGCGGTATCGATTGGGGGCGGACCGCGCGCCGAGACTCCGCGGCCGGCTCGCGGCGCCGCATCGCGCAACAGCTGTGAGCGAGATCTCTTATCTTGACCGTGAGAACATCATTATTACGTTTGCTGTTTGTATCTGTTTATGTAGAATTAGAGAAATTATATACTCTATTATTATAATTAGAGAAAATATATAAGTATTATAAATTATCATGATAAAGCATTCAACTGACTGCATTGTCAACTGGGCTTATAATGCAAGGATAAATTAGCAGTACTATTTAGTTGTTACAATTTTGTAGATTTGCTGTTTGCTTAATTTATGGTATTATTCTATCAAATCAAATATACTTATGAATATATTATGTAGCATTTATGTGTATGCTTTACACTTATTTTAAACAATTACATAATCTATTATGCTTCTATACTGATTATGATAATATTTCTGTATCAATTCTAAATTAAATTCTGTTTGAATACTACAGAAATTTTACTATTGCGTCATCTGTCGTTTTTTTTTATGTTTAAATAAAAAAATAAGAAACTCCAAGTTAAATAGATTCATCGTTGACGCATCTAATTAATTAATTAAATTGTATGAAATCCGCTGTCGTGGATGATAAAATATGTATAATTCGTTCATGTTCGGGTATGCCGACCGTTTGGTTCGCATGTGCCGGCAAATTGGGGCCAGACTAATAAGATAACAAAGTTAAATAAATCAAATCTGCTTACAACGAAGCTGAAACATTTATTACATGATGTCTTTATGACAATAATTCTGAATTTCTGACACTAATAGTTTGTCAGAGAGCAGGTGCTGAAAGAATTTTCAGAAAATTTGTTGTTATAATTCAATAATATTGTAACTAATTGTTTCATATTTCCATATTAAAAAGATATTTTCACATACAAAACTGAAATTCAAAATGGCCGTATACTGTCGTCAGTGTTTCAATTGAAAACATGTTGATGAAAAAATTGAATACGCATCACTCAGGAATGATCATAAATAGATAACCTTGACAGTGACTCTTTGAAGTCTTCGAATAATTAGTGATCTTATTAATATACTCAACATGAAATAAATCGCACCTTCCGCGACATGAACTTTAAAGATTTTATTCTGACACAATCATGGTTATAATCCCCAACAATATTGGTGTTATTTGAAAGCCCAATAAATAAACTGAAAGAAAAACACATTTAATTTTTTTATAAACAATGAACAGGTACCATAAATGTGACTTGAAAAAAGGCCTCACTTGGGGCTCTCCTCTGGGATCAATTAGACCAATTTTTGTGGTTATAAAACCAAATAATGATCTTACGTGTCCTTTTTAACAGATGGATAGCGATTTTTATTTATTTTATTTTTATTTTATTTAGGAACCAACGGCGTTACAATGAATAAATCTTAAAGTAACTTAACAATAAGTATGGCTAATTATAGGTTTCCCTGGAATATCCTTAAAGTAAATCTACCGTTCGGATTACCGAGACGCAAACTCCAAAAGATGAAAACTAGAACATTACAAATAACTTACTTACATAATATTATTATGAGAATACATTTTGACACCCTATAAAGTTGAGCCACATTTGACGACTAAATTAAAGTTAATTAACTTAAAATGTAATTAATTTAAATTACTTAAACCACAGATAGTTAATATAATCTTAAACTAAGGTTTATAGTTTGACAGACAAATAGATATCAGATACCCGAACAAAATTAAATAATAATCACTCACCCCACAGACAACCCAAAAAAGATGTAGGTCAATTTAATAATAACTAGATTTTACCCGCGGCTTCGCTCACGTGAGATTAAACTTATTACGGATAATAACATCATTTATTAAGCATATTTTTTGGATTAATCCCAATTTAACAGTTTTATAGCCATAAAAGTTGGCTCAAGCGTAACTACCTATTTTTTGAAGAAGTGACTCTGGATCCTTCTAAAGACTCATTTTTGGGATAAAAACCTTTCCTTTAATTAAATGAAGTTTAAAACTAGGCTTCAAATGGAACCAATGTTGGTGGAATGTGGGGATGCATACGTTTGAGAAGTGCTTGTTGCGAGAGGTGCGATTTATTTGATGCCGAGTGTATATTTATAACGGTATGGAAAATTAAATTTAAAAACATCATTCCATTCCCAAAGCCTTGTCCTTGAAAAACCAAAAATAGAGAAGTTGTTTAAGGCAAATCAAAAAAAAAAATTGTTTATGAAAATATTTGGTCATAAATCATAGTAGAAAAATATTTACTTCAGTAAGTCATCCGTAAGTGAAATTTTTAATTGAATAAGATTCAATGATATATCATATTATTCATGAAGATATTTTTTAAAATAATTAGTGATGAAATCTCTAGTTTGATGAAATTAAGTTTGGTATCTCAATAAATTATTTAATTAATGCATATCGATATTGATTGATGCTCTGACTGATGCTAAATATTATGAAAACAAAAACTTAAATATTTCTGCCTCTTGTAAACAGGAAAATCGTTTTTCACAGTTAAAGAAACGAAAATTATGTCACTATAATTAATTCCCTTTGTTCTGCTTTGGAACAGTCAATGATCCGTTTATACGTGGTAAGAATTTTAAACTTGACTCAATAGAGTCATGTCGCGATGACCTACAGTTAGATAATGATATTAATATGCTGTACGACCGGCGCGCCGTATCAGTATAGTACGGCGGTCTGCATAATTATTTCAGTTATTGCCTCGGTATCGACGGCGTCAGACGCGGACAGTCCGTGCCGCGGTCCTCGGAGATCGCTCGCGCATGTGTTCGTGATAGTGCTAATCGCGTGCCTCTCGGTGCAGACGCCTGCACTTGATCGTGAAAGTTTATTACCATTGGCCTCAAACACTGGAACCGTTACTAAAAGAAATCGCCTTGCTTCCAACACCGATTTAGTTCGCAAGTTTATAATTTTTGCAAATGTAGCAGGTCTAGTGCATCATATCTTAACGTTTATGATAAAAAGTGTCACGCCTTTACCGGCTTCGTACTTGAAGGTTATAATGGTCTACGACTAATGAGTGATTGTTCGACATAACGTAGTGCCCTGTTAAAATATTTACCTTTATGTATGTGAAAATACCCTACATTTGCGGAAAAACTATAATGATATTTTATAACCTAGAAACGCCCTGAAAATATCAAATTCCATTTTTAAGTCAAATATTACATTGATTAAGTCTTATATTTGGATTACAATCAATATGTACTGCGTACCGGTACACACAGGGTCAAATTTACGTCATATTTCTGTGCTAACCTACTTTCATATTGCAAACTATTTAAGGTATTGCCATGACGGATAAGTGGAGTAAAATCCATTGCAGTTACAATTTCAGTAATGTCTTTTCAGATATTTTATAGCTACTTCACAATGTTCCTATCCGATATTATTTTTCCAAACCAATATTTTAAAAGTCGGCCGTTTGGTGTAGTGGTTCAGAGCGGACTACTATGCCGAGAGGTCCCGGGTTCGATTCCCGGCCGGGCCGAAATTGAAATGATGAATTTTAATTTCTGTGACGGGTCTGGGTGTTACCATGTATAATATGTAAATGTATGTATTTAAAAAAAAAAGAAAGTATATAAGTAGTATATCCGTTAAGCTAGCACCCATAACACAAGCATTAAGTTGCTTACTTTGGGGCTAGCTGGCGCTGTGTGAAATTGTCCAAAGATTTATTTATTATTTATTATTATTATTTAAAAAGCGTGATGTTTTTCAAAGTTTTCATGGATAGATATAGATAAACCTAATTTAATCTTTGTAACTACTGATTTGATTTTGAAAGAATCTTCTATTCCATTCCAGACTTTCCATTTCATTTTCACACTGGGGTTACTTGTGCGAATTTCACGGCTTAATTTTACATTTAAGTCTTTTTAAATTACTTATACCAATAACGACGCGAATTGAGTAACTTGTTTGTATCGAATAAAACGTTTATAAAAATAATACCTTTATTCAGTCGCTATCGAGCTATAACTTTGTCGTTTCGTAATTTGATTATAAACAAGCTTGCATACGCATTCACTCGATAAGTTACTCATGCGTTAAAGTAATTTAATAAAAACATGTCAATGTCACATAGCCCCTTTTTTGTCGACTGGTTATTTTGAGGAAAAATAAGGCCCTTAAAGAATAAGGAAAAGACTCCCCTTTGCCAGTTTCAGTGGCAGAAGAGAGTTAAGTAGGCTTTTTAAAACGGCAAAACCGCTCAAGGTTAAGCGGCCGTTGAATTTTGCTGTTTCATCAGTTGTTTGAACTTGCTGGATAGATGAGAGAAAACCTTCAGCTTTTGTCTACAAAATGAATATTTTACTATGAGATGCTTTGAAAAGTATATCTTTTGTTATAGGTGTTATTAGGGTTCTATGATAATAACGGATAATTTGTAAAAAGTAAAGTACAAAAGAAGTAGACAGTGACGCGGCTAGTTTACCACAAAAAAAAGAGAATGCTTTCTGTCCATTTTGGTGGTTGGTACTTGGTACGCTATTAACGTTGAAATTAGCAGCACGTACGTGCATGCAAGAAAAAAATACAAATTAGGCTTTTATTTCCTAACAAGAAAACTGAAACACGAGGCTATTTACTTGTGTTCAACTTAACGTAGTATACCTAGTTATTGATTATTTATTTTGGAACAAGTCTCACGACGGATATTCGTCTTCTAAACTCATCCGTTGTTTAATTAGTAATTGTTCACCTCTTGCGTATTACTTAAATAATGTAAAGTAGAAATAAACAAATTACCTAATACATAAGATGGTGACGGCAAAACATGTTTTCTTTTTTGTTTAAATTTTCAGCACTTAGGGCTAACTTTCTGTAATTTATACTGACACATGTACTCAAAGAGCATAATATTATTATTTTATGCAACGCCCCTTTAAAAAATATTAATAGACACTTTTCACCTTTTAAAAAGTGCAATGTGGAAGAATCGTTTTTTAGACATCAGACAAGGCTGTACAGCATTGACGTCACCTTGTTGAATCACGTGCGACGACCTTACGCTGCGGTCTGTTCCTCTATGGTACAGTTCGTTCGTACCTTTCACGGTACCGGCACAGAATAATAGTACTACGTGTACCGGTACCATTATTTTTTTTAAACCTATCTTTATTTCTAAAGACAGCATTGGCACAATGTGGCATTGGGTTGTTTTGGATGATGATGTCATTGATGGCTTACTAAAAGCCATTTTAACTGTCGTAATAGTAAGGAGGCATGGTGGTGTCACCTCCCCTAAAAATATTACCACTCCTGAAATGCCTATAATATGTCTCTTTAACTACTGAAGTCGTTAAACTTAGCTTAATGACTTATAAAACATCTTCCTGCCAATACTCTCATTAATGATGCGTATTTTATTTTTAATGACGCTAAAAACTAAAATCGCCTTTGTACGATGCATAATCATCATTTAAAGCCTTATGAGCAAAAAAGAAGTTTTAGTTGTCTTAAGGCATAAACCACATTAGTCATGAATAATTGCTTTTTAAACTCGCTGTTTGTTAAACCGTGTCAGAACCATGAACGAAGAACCATTATTTTTTAAACAGTAGTCATACACCTAAACTGTTGTTATGTAGCTCAAGATCAATTATTACTGCTTATATTCTTTCATTATGAGCATTGTTTCTTAAAAGGTTTATTTTTAAAGATGTGACAAAGGCAGAACACAGGAAAACAAGCTTAATTAACAGCAGTTATCCTGAAAAGCACGCCATAATTTCCGTGACAAAAATAGAAATAAAAGTTTATTATTAAATAAGACCCTGGACGATACCATATTATTTATTTATTATTGTTTTGTCTGCAGTACCTGATGTTTAGAAACCGAATGAATTGTTTTGATTCCTATTGTCTTGCGATCGCCTCGTATTTATCAATGATGCTTTCATTGTGAAACCACTGACAATTGCGCATCACTAACTAGTAACCGACCGATAGTTCTCGAGGAAGGTGGATTGAATAATATCAAATTAGATTTGCGCTATGGGCAATGAATTATGTACAACAGACAATAATGGACGTAACAAAGGTGATTTTATTACCATTTTAAAAGCGACTTTAGTGTTTCTATATTAGATTACAGTTGAATCTTCCATTTTCTGACATCACAACTCTTCTAAAAACTTCAATGTTTTTTCTGTTTATTGCTTCCGTCATTTTAATTTACCTGTTTCGTGTTGCTAAGTTAATCTAGCACTGAAAAAATCACAAATGTAGCGTACACACAATAGCAGAATATACATGCATATTACCTATAATTAGCATAACGTGCGGGTGTTACATTGGGCGCGTCGGCTATATCCTCATTTTAATAAATCAATAGTTTGCTTAAAAAATAGATTGAAGAAGTAAATCAGCTTGAAAATTATACCGAATTCCGACTTTTTCATACGTATTTAGCTCCTAGTCGATGGGTGGCCAGCTCTTATCGAAATGTACGTTTCGCATGAATTTCATAAGAGAGTTAATTTAAGTACCTCGCTTGGGCACCCGAGCGTGCGGATGATTTTTAGCGTACCATGCAGGTATATGCTTCGTCAATCGCATTACATTAGTGGAATATGTGGTTGGCACGATTCTTGGTTTAACAGGTGTTGCGTCATAACAAATATTGATCAGTGTAAAATGGATTGTCAGTTGCGATCGTTCATTAGTCGGAGACATTGCGAATAGGTGTCGCTGTGGGACCGCAGTGTTGAGTGATAAGTGTCGTGTGCGAGAAGAGGAGTGTTGGGTGGTGTGAGGCGGGCGGAGCCGATGGTCGCGGCTCGGGCACGTCACGGCGGAGGGCTGTGCGGGCTCGGGCGCGGGGTGCGCGGGCAGCTCGCGCGCCTCGCCGCCGCCCGGCTTCGATCGCGAGCTCTTCCACGAGCTGAGCTACCTAACCGACGCGGAGCTCAAGGAGTGCCTCGGCGAGTACCCCGACTTCATCTACCACGTGGCTCGCGACAAGTTCGGCAGGCTCTACTTTCGCGTCGTCCGGAACTTGCTCCTTGATCGAGGTACGACTGGGCCGATCATCAGTCGCTAGCTGCTGCATTATGTCAGCTCGTTTTGCTTTACATCTTGAATTTGTTTATCACATTCATATGCCTCGGTCATATGCTTGTCCAATTACTTAATTTATCATTTTCATAACCTTATCTTAGTGATCACTAGCTAACCCTGACCTAAGTAGTTTAAACTTTAACACATTAACCACGTGACCACTATTAACAATATCTTATTTATAAACTTCATTGAAAATGTTTTAATTTAGTGTAAGTATAAATAAATTATGCTTGGAATGTATATTACATAGCCTACGTCGTATGTAGCGCCTCGAACAGTTCTCATCAAATGCTAACGTTAGTATTATTACGTCTTCACATCACACCCGGAAAATTATTGTCACAAAAACTGTGAAAGTCTTTCAGCTTCGTACATGCCTACGTGTACCGAATAGAAGCACAATCAATATCCGTTGTAATCACTATGTTAGGTAAGAGTGGGAAAAGCTCCCATCCACCCGCATTGTAACAATCTATTATTATGTTAGTTCTCACATTTTTGTAACGCTGGAAAGCAAGTGTCGTTTGCCTACCTCTTTGTTGTAATACTATCTAATATTACCGTAGTCCGTTAATCATCCTTCATCCTTTTTGGGATAATCTTGATTAAAAAAACGTTTAGTTTTGAATCAATAAATCACACGCCTGCGCCGAATGAATGATCAAAGAATTTTCTATTTAGGCATTTTCGTTTCGGCTCCACTGATGTATCTACCTTATTTGTTATCAAACACGTTTAAGCGTATAGCACTTAATGGACTTCACAATACCATCTATCATAATTATCGCGATAATGATAGGTATAATCAGTACTTAACAAATTTCTGAACTATTCATCGGTTCGTAAATAGAATGTAATTGTCTTTTGTGCCTGCGTTTTCCCACATGCGTGTACAATAGACCAGATTGTTTTGCCCTCCGCCGAGCGAAATGAAACATGGAGCTCTCGTATGTAACCAGTCGCTTACTCGATCGACAGGTTCGCGCTAGTGTTTGTCGCGACAAACTTACTGGTTATTGATGTAACATCAAGTGCGATCACACATTGTTCCGTGGAATTGTACAGTTCACGTATTATGTTACGGTCGTGTGGCTTGCCCACTCAATGCAGGTTCGATGAACGGGCAAAGGCCAGAGGCGGATGACAAAATACCGGGTCAGTACTAGTAATCGCATATTTGTGTACCTAGCTTAAAACGAGATTATTGTATCTTATCAGTGGCCGCGGCCGGCGAGCGGCAAGTGCTCTATTCCGGGCTTCACACTCGAGTGCTCCGCACTTACACGGTGCTTTGCGACACTGATTTGCGATGATTTAAGTATTTATTTAATTTATCTAGTCATCGTTCAGTGTTCTATTGTTATGTTTACGCGAAATTGACGTCTTAGCAAACGTGTGAAATATTTTTTTGATTGTGGAGAACGTGGACAGTATAAGCTTTTGAAGGGATTTAATAGTGATTTCGGACCAAACCTTATTCAAGATGTAAAGGATTGTGATATTGGGGTGCGATTCCGCACTCAAAAATTAATAGAATATAGAATTTTGTTTGTAGAAACATGTCACGGTTTGTTTATTTTTGCCTCGCATCGTTGTCGCTTCATCATCACATCAGTCATAAATAAGTTAATTTTAATGATCAATAAAAATGGAACCGTATTATTTACGTCAATATCTGGTTACAGGTAATTATAATAAAATATAGTGTACTATGTGCTATGAGAAATCTATACATAATAAAAGATAAGAAATAAAATCATTGAGTGTATTATGGATGGCTATTAAATTAAAATTAATGAACTGTTGTGAAAACACACTTGATTTTACGTAATTGTTATTTTATACATTTTATGTATCTATCGATTGGTCGAGTATAAATCCATTAATATTACATTAAAATTTTATAAATATTAAGTTATGATTTACAAATAAACATAATACCAATAATTACATTATTATAATAACTGTTATGAGAGTGCTAAAATTAATATTTTATTTCCAGTAAATTTTCAATTATTTAGATCATAATGAGCTATTTACCGCTCCTATCGTAGAAGCGGCTTTTGTAGATAATTTAAACAGTAATTATTTATTAATTTAATGGTTTGTACTACAGCAAGGTCACATAACTTCTAACATCTTTATTATGATTTGAATGCTGTAAAAATTTACAACCCATATCTGAGCGCTTGCTAATAATTCTTTTGTTTCGGAATAAACAATTGCGTTTTAGATAAGGTTTTAGGTGTAGCAAATACATAGTTGTACATTTATTTATTATATTTGCAGTTCTATGCAGCAACAGGGTGAGCCAAATGACAAAAACCTACAATGACATCGAAGCGGTAACACGGCTCTTAGAAGAAGTAAGTTATTTGCCTGCTTTTTTCCTCGGGTAGATTAGCATAGATTTGGATGAGTTGTTGGTTCATTACGTAGCATTTTAATTTTTACCCCTAGGTGATAATTTGTAATTTACTTATTAGGGGCTAATTACAATGCTATTGACTTGTTATCTCAGTAATAAAATATTTTTCCTCGAAGGTAAATATTTAGTATCATAAGTCGCAGTCATCAAAACTCACGCTGTTTGTAAACAGCGCATAGTCTAGTCATTTTGAAATGACTTCATTAATAAGTACACACTAATAACTGTCAGTCTAAATAACATTCATTTGTGAGTAAACTAAGTGTGTAATCAGTTTCATTTTAGTTCATAAATAAGTGCGGACCAATACACATCAATTTATACACTGTGACGTTGTGTAGTTGGTGCTTGACCTCAATAATAATATGTACTATGTACAGAAAGTTTTCTTTGCGAAGGTATTTAAAATATTTCTACTCAATATCGTCAAAAATTGTGTAATTTAGCTTGTGTCAAGACTTGACATCTGATGTGCTGTACAAGTGTACGTACAGCCTATTCTAGTCATTTTTTGTTTTAACAGAATAGAGACGAGTTTGACAATTTAACAGATGAGACTTCCAAAGAAATGGTTAAAAATTTTTAAAATATCCCATTTTCAATCGATTGTCAGTTGTTAGTCGATTGTTAGTTTGACAGTCGTTTGTTTTGTCCGCAGAAAGAGAAGGACTTAGAACTAACTGCCCACATCGGGAAAGAGTTGCTGGCCACTATCGGTCAGTTGGAGGCGCGAGTCGCCGATCTTGAAGGGGAGCTTAAGAGCGCGAGGGACCACATCACACAGCTCCGACACGAGCTCAACACTAAATCAGATTTGCTGCAGGTGGGTTTCATTTTATAGCATTAACTACAAGCTGGGACCGATATAAACTTTATAACGAAAGTGTTTACAGATAATCAGAGTTAGGGGATAAAATCTAGACTTATTTGAAATCATACCTACCTAATATTACAAAGGTAAAGAGTTGGTGAATATTATTAACAAATACAGCACTTACTTAACTAAAGAGTAGATATTATTTGACTAATCAAAGTTCATTTCAACTGCGGTAAAGTTAGTGATGACTTCATCGACATACCTACCATCCACTGGTTTTTCTAATTTCGTGTCGTATCTTTTCTCGTATTCAATCGATGAATTGATGCTAATCGTTCATGTCGTTATGCAAGGGCATTTCCTTTAATCAAGTGTCTATTATGAGAAAAGCAATGACTCAAATAATTATAACTCACTTGAAACTAGTTATTGTAATAGACTTCTATATATTTATTCGAACACAAGTTGTAGTTTAGTTTTGTTACATTTATAATGAGACATTAAGATTGCAAGTGATACGCTGTTTATAAACATGCTACCATTCTCGTGCTCTTGTGATCTCGTGCTAGATCATCTCCAAATGGAGATAAACGTCGAATTCGCTTTTGATAATCAAGTGATAATGGATAATCATACATAATATTCTTTTCCTTGCGAATCAATTTTAGGCCTGTGGATTAAATGTCGAATCCGAGATCTTCAGGATGTGTCACTTGCCACATCGGATGTGGCACATCCCATAAAAGTATTGCGCACTGCTGTTGTTAAAAAAATTACAGCGATATCACCTTGCAACGGGATCACATCTGAATAAAAAACCGTAGGCAGTATCTGCGTCTTACTTGTGAGATTTTCATCATGCGCCGAATAAAAAAAAAACAGAAAAGTACGAATGGGATCTCTATTGCTCGAGATTCTATCCCTGAGTATCCAGAAACTTATTAATAAAAAGAAATCCCCGTCGGTGTAAGTGCTAATAAATGACACAAAGGAGGGCGCAATGTCACCAACGAAGCAGGAAGCGACTCGCAAGAGCGGCTCTTTGAAAATGTCCAATCACATGGCACACTTGCCACATCCTATAAGTAGTGCGCACTGCAGACTTTGAGTATCAACACGCAACGTTATCCGAACATAAAAACCCTGAGCCAGTGCCCATCCACTATCACTTAAATTTGGCAATTATGCAGGCTATTTCGGTTATCTTACGGAATTCCTCGTCGTAGGTGCTAACAAATGACACAGAGGAGGGCGCCACGTCACCAACGGAGCAGGAAGCGGCCCACGCGGCCGCCCTGCGCAAGCGCACCGGCGCGCTGGAGCGCGAGAACCGCGCGCTGCGCGAGGAGGCCGCGCGCCTCGCCGCCGGCGCCGACAGCGCCGAGCTGGCCGAGCAGCAGCTGCTGCGGGATATCGCTCACCAGCTCAGTAAGTATTTTATACTTTTGCTTTTCTAAAAAGATTATTAGTAATTTGTCATTGCACAAATTACTAATAGTCCTGTTATCCCCTCGTATTAAGCTAAATAAGCTTGTCACGAGTGAGCTCACCACAATAGTCGAGCGGTGGCGGGGACCGAACCCGCGTTCCTCGGATCACGAGTCGGCCAGTCCGACTCCTTCACCGTTCGGCTATCCTGGCTTCGATTTAGATAAATGAATTGGATATACTACAGTCAATGAAATACTTTTAATGAGGCGGCAAAACGCACCAGTCCCATTTTGCATAGCAATTCTTGAGTTATGACGTCAAATTTCTGTCAACTTAATCGCGCTGACAGCGGTGAGCTGGCCGAGCAGCAGTTGCTGCGAGATATCGCTCACAAACTCGGTAAGTATACTTCAGTTAAACGCATCCATGGGCATACCAAGGGTGGGACAAGGGAGGACAGCTGCCCGACCACTGGAAATGATGATGGTACATCTTGGTAATGCTGTCTTATAAAATAATATTTCGTTCTTAGTGTCAAGGAAGAGTCACGGGGCTCTTGTCTTAAAAATTGATTGGTAAAACTTGTACTGTTATATCATTGTATATTGATGTACTCACACAGCATTGTAAATATACATTAATTACAGGTCAAGCATAACTGAGTCAGTGCCTGAGGTATGGAAGCGGCACGGGAGGGTGTTTTTGTGAAACGTTTGCGAGATTACAGATGTGCTTCAGACTTGCATGTTACGTCACGTCGTATGTTAAGTGACTCTAACCCCTCCTGTACCGCTCGCATAAGTCCCATACGTCCAGTTTTTGATCTCAGAAGATGAAATATTGTATTGTGAATTATTGCGTACATAAATAAATAATACAATGATGCTTTTTGTCTTGTAATGTATGATGATATTGAAAAAGTGTTTACAAGCTTTATTTACATTGTCGAGCTGATAAATCTATGTAACAAATGCGATAACAGCGTGAGTACTTTTGATACGATATTTTAAGTTAACTCGCAATGATAAGAAAGTATGCTAGTTCTCATTCAGATACTAATAGCACAGAATAAATAATAGTTGCTAATAGTAAGTACTTATTCTGCGTCACCAAATGGTTCGTTTTAACCTTTCAAGCATTGTGACTTTACTGGATAGAGTTAAGAAAAACTATAGTAAAATGACGTTGGTATTGGCAGAATTTAGATTGTTTTATATCTAAATGTATTGGAAACTGAAACCTGGTCTTTTTTACATTTTATACCATAGTTTTTGTGTCATTCGTTACAATTGATTGATCGTCGATATTATGGTAAAAGTGGTCTGTCATTCAGCCGCGAAGAAATGTAACCAGTTATTTAGGTAAAAAAGATTTAAATTATCAACTAATGTAACAGTGATAAATAATATTAACGAAAGTATTTTATCATGAATTCTATGCGCCAATCGACTTATAATCATTAAGATTACTATTTGTGGCCGGATGTTTAGGTTGAATTGATGTTTCATCATCATCAACAGCCCTTTACAGTCCACTGCTGGACTATGAGCCTCCTCCACTATAGTGGAGTGTATAGAGTGGAGGAGTATAGTGGAGGGAGGAGGTGGAATTGATGTTTACTTTACCTTAAAGGCCGGCAACGCACCTGTAACGCCCCTGGGTCTGCGGGTGTCTATGGGCGACGGTAATCACTTACCATCAGGTGATCCGTCTGCTCGTTTGCCTCCTGTCACATAAAAAAAAAGAAAAAAAGAATTAAACTGTATACTTTGTATTTACTACCTATGAAAATCTATGGATATTCGTTTAATTTTTTTGGACCGAAAATGCCGTGTTTTGATTACCTACATAAGTATAGTATCAGAAAACATACATTAAATTTTATTCACAAAATAATACTCATGTTACGTTTTTCGTGGGCGGAGCCACTCACATTGTTTAACATACTTACATTGTTTAAATTTTATGAACCAGAATCTTACCGATATAAACCCAAACAAATAATAAAATAGTTTTATATTATTTCAATAAATGTGCATTGTAACTGTCAGTATTTAATATGTGTGCGAAGAAAATCAAGAAGTAAGGCGACGAAGAGAACATGAAAAGTCCAAAAATTGGTTTGGTGAGGCAAGGTGGCCTAGCAGCGTGTTTTCTTTAAGGTTTGCACCCTGTCAGACCATACTTGTTTCAACTTGCCAATATTCATCAGTAGGAAAAACAACAAGTCAAGATGAAGATGAAGACATACGAGTCAAGAGCAAGATTGAATTTTCATTTACATTGTATTTTATGAGAACTTATTTAAACTTCTGTAAATATGTATCCAAAATCAACATTATATTCTTAACTGATATATTGGTTTACCAACTTATGTCAACGAAGTATATTTGCTCTAATGCTACATGCATGAGCTGCAATTACGTCACGGAAACTAAAATAATCTGGTCATGTCTAACAAATTAGAAGTGGTTTTCCTTTACGTTTTATCTGTGCTTCTTTTCGTTGATCAGTGATGTATTTAAATAAGGAAAAAGCCTTTAAACTGACATCATGTTTTATACTTCTTTGTCTGCCAAGTACTTGATGAAACTACCTATAACATTAAATTAAATGTTTAAGGAAGATCTTTATTTATTTATTCTTTAATGTCATATACATTGGTTCATAAGACGAAATGATGACGCCATGTAAAGGTCGGAGAGCCTGATGGTTTGTGTAGTAGACAATACTTCGAGTGTTGCGATTTTAAATACGGCAGGGCAGGCTAAGCCCCTCTGTCTTTGGACACGCAACTGCTTGCTTCAGCAACGCTAATGTGATGAGCATTATCATTTATTTAATCTTTTACAGTCAGGGACGTATTTAACGACCGAATATAGGACCGGATTATTTTTTATACATGGGTCAAGGCCCTTCATTCTAAATTGGGTCTGGAGCTAGCTTTGGTGTGATGGAACAGTTTATTTATTGTAATATTTGTGTTTTTCTTTAGCAAGCGCAAACTCCGAAGCTACCGTCCTCAGCTCGGAGTTGGCGGACGAGCGACAGCGCTCCGCGGATCTTCAGCACCAGTTCGACAGCGCTAACGCAAGGCTCGTGGCCACCGAGAGAAATTTGCAAAAGGTTAGATATAAACAAAAAACAATATTTTAAAAAATCCCTGATAATAGTAATCAAACAGCCAAATTCCCAATAACCCCTTCTCATTTTGCCCAAAACTATATTTCAACTTCCATGTAAATGCCACCTGAATTTTTAGTTAATCTAAGGGCAGTTCTTTTTCATTGGTTAGCTATTAAAGTATCGTTTATAAATTCTGTTTGTAAATATAAGATTAGGATCTATATCCGCTACTCATGTTTACTTATCCGCTAATCTGTTTATCTGAAGCCAACGCCTATATCTATTTCGGACAGCTCTGTCCATTATAAGGAAGGTTATTAGATTATCGTGTCATTTAGACACGGTTTATAATGATTGTCTACCTCGATTTGTTACGTATTCTAATATTCGTGTAGGTACATTTACGCAAAGCGCTGGTGGTTTTTTGTTAATATGCGACATTGGTCTCGGCGCGTGTCAAGGTGATGTCATACAATAAGTTATTTGCATTTGTTACAGCTAACAGCAGAACACGAACATACGCTGCGGATTCTTGAAATAACAAAAGAAAATCAAAATGCCCTTGCATCGGAGTTGGCTGACACGAAGGTATTTTATACTAATGTTATAAACGAGAGATTGTGAATGTTTGTCATCTACTCCTTCACGCAAACACCATTGGATTGATTTTGATGAAGCTTTACAATATAAGCTCATACCTATACCAGAATAGAACAAACATTACTAGTAGGCTTTTTATTATCGAAATCTACGTGGAATAAGTCGCGTGATTCAGAATATAGATAGTTAAAGATATATGAATATTAAGTAATCTGTAACAGACAGGACGTAGACGGCCTTGTGGCTTGTTGTTGCGTTCACTGAAATATTTTATGGAGATAGAAATAAATTTTATAGTAGGTACTTACTTATTTTATCGACAGTCGGAATTTCTTGCGAAAAAATTATTGCTCGATAAATTTTGTTTAATCAATTTAAGTTCCTGTATACAGCAATGCAGACTATTGTATCATTGTACTCAATCTAAGATGGACCTGATTAAAATAATGTTTTGTTTTAGTACAATGTGCAATCTATTAAAATATTTACTTACTACTTGATCACGCAAAGCATGTGTGATAATATAATAGAAATAATTAGTTATTATAAGGATTTAAACAAACATTGATTTGTGTTGTATACTTCACAACCTTGTTGCAAAGATAAGTTTATTCTTACTTGAGTGTTTTGGCGATTGAAATATTGAGTTAACATAACACAGACTTATCATGTCTGACTTATTATATTTATTTAGTATACCGATCGATAACAAGCAATCCATGCCCTCATGCAAGCTGCTGGCCCTCAAAAGTGCATTAACATTTTACTAAAACTATTTGAGAAGACCCTTTATTTAAGAAGAGTTATAAAATTGAATCCCCTTCACAATAAAGGGCTCAAGCTGCTGTCAAGTTCATTTACCTAGATGTTTTGAATTTGATTGAAGTAAACTTGGTGGGTCTGCACGCGACAGCCTATGCTCATTACAAAATTACACCCCTTGAAAGGCTCTTTGCATGCCCTCCTACATTACAATAACTTTAAAATGACGGAACCAAATAAAAAACAGCTTATTGCGACTAAAAATTTTGATTAAATCGTTGCAACGTTTATCATATCGCTTAAATTACTGCAGTAATCTAGCCGATATGACTCCCCGAAATGGTGGTAGGCATATTTACGTCATGTACCAAGGCTCTGAGAAGGGCATAAACACTAAAATATTTAGATTTTCAAGCAATTTTCTTCTTTGACGTAGGAGCGATATGCAGAAGTGGCAGCACACTTGTCCGAGGCTCAAGAGCAGCTTCGACAGCTCCGCAAGCGAGGGGAGCCGGTGCGGGGACTCATGCCGAGCGTGGCCGCGGCGGCAGGCTTGCTGCCCGCCAGCCTGCACCGCGAGATGCACTCGTCCGTCTACTCCGAGCTGAGTCTCGACTCGGGTATTGGAGACCCGATGGCACAGTAAGTGTTGCGTATTTTACACAGTAGCAGGACATTTGTCCGAGGCTCAGGAGCAACTTCGACAGCTCCGCAAGCGAGGGGAGCCGGTGCGGGGACTCATGCCGAGCGTGGCTGCGGCGGCAGACTTGCTGCCCGCAAGCTTGCACCGGGAGATGCACTCGTCCGTCTACTCTGAGCTGAGTCTCGACTCGGGTATTGGAGACCCGATGGCACAGTGAGTGTTGTGTAGTTTGCATATATCACAGTTTAGATTACGAGGGGCGGCTGAAAAGTTTTGAGCCTAAGTATCTTCAAGTGCTATTATTGACTCGCGTTAAATTTATTTAATTTGCTAATAACCTCCTAAGTATATGTACAAAGTTTCATTTCATTAGCGTCATCACGCTTTTAGTAATTAATCAGTAAACATCATCATGTCTCAGTCATCCGCGCAATGTACGAAATCGAAGTACACAGTTATCATAAAACTCCTCAAAAAGAGGAACAAAACGCTGACGGTAACATTTGAAGAGATATGTACAGTTTATGGGGAGTCTGGGCCTTCATTTGCCATCATGAAATATTGGATCCGATAGTTCAAGCATGGCAGGGAGTCTCTAAAAGATGACCGCAAGTCAGGACGGCCAGATTTCGCCATTAACGAATAAAATAATGAAAACTTAAAAAATCTTGCTTTAGAGATCAGCGAATTAAGTTGTGACAGATAGCTGAAGCCATAGGCATTAACAAAGAACGTAACGGCGATATTTTTCATACTCATTTGCACATGAAATAGGGATGCGCGCGATGGGTGCCAAAAATGCTCTCGCCGCTCGACAACCAGCGTCGAGTCACAACTTCGCAGGAGTTTTAGGACGTCTTTGACCATAATCCTAACAAATTTTTTTCTCAAATTATCACTATTGATAAATAATAGATCCGGCAGTACGATCTAGAGTCAAAATAAGAGTCACTGCAATGGATTCAAAAGGGAAAACGCCGCCGCGGAAATTCAAAGTGGAGCGATCGACACCCAAGCTCATAGCCACTATTTTTGGGATTGTGGAGGAATTTTATTCATTGACTACCTACTTAAAAAAACTACAATAAACGGGGATTATTATGCTGTACTGTTGATAGGAGTGCGTCAAGTGGTTGTTGAAATATTAAGAGGCAAACTAGCGAAAGGAAATCTGTTACTGCAAGACAATTCAACCGCGCACACCGCGCATGTTGCATGGCTTACCCCGGGTAAAACTGGATTTCTAGAAATTAATCACCCACCACACAGTTTAGTCCGATTCCCTAGCTATTTTGTCTAATTCTCAAATTGGAAAAAAGACCTCCAGGAACGAAGATTTTTGAGTGACAAAGAAAGAAAGGCGGCGTTAAAGGCTCATTTCGAAGGCAAAGATTGCGAATTTTTTTTCAGTGGTTTAAAAGCTCTTTTACACAAATGTAAGAAGTCCGTTGTAGTAGAGGGAGATTAAATAGAAAAATATATTTTTTACACTTTTCTATCGGCATTTTTAATACCCTAGGCTCAAAACTTTTCAGCCGCCCCTCGTATGTAGTAGCTAGCTTGCTGCCTCTGGCAGTGCCTTCACCGGAAGATACAATCGTCCGTCCACTCCGAGCTCAATCGCGACTCGGGTTTCGGAGACTCAATAGTGCAGTAAGTGTTGCGTACACGGTTGCTCATTTAGGATTATGTGGTCCCTGTGTCTCCTATCTGCTGTCTACAAGACTGCAGCGGGACTATTCCTAGGGGAGAAAAGATGCCATACTCGTCCTTCTACTGTCGACTCCGATATCGGAGATCCAATATAGCACAGGGTGCAAGCTAATTAAAGCTATTATTTACGACTTAAAGATTCTTTGAATGATCTTTTGGTTTATCTTATCGTGATACCAATATAACGAAAATAGCGGTTTATCATAAATGCGTTATTGATTGAAACTGTATCAAGGAGAAATGCAAATTGTGGTTTATAGGGATTACGAACGCACTGGAATTTATTGTAAGACATTTATCTTCTTATCTCTTGTTCTAGAAAAAAAGTAGGCCTATATTACTATCTTGTTGACACAGCATTTGGCATAACTACCTATTATTTGATTTTTCAATAAGTTCTAATTTTACTGATAAGTTTAAATATACTTGCGTTCATGCACGGTTTAAATATCGTGTGCATCACAATCTATGTGTTCGGTGACAGAATTGGATAACGTGTAATCACAAATGACAAAATTATTTTTTAACCTGCTACGGATGGCTACTATTTGATGTGTGTCGTCATAGTTCGTAAACGGATCAACGGAGAAAGGTGTTTATTACGTGACTTATTATTCGAGCCGTAAAAATAACCTTTTTGTTCCAGCTCAAGTATGGCGAAAGTGTTCGAGACGGTGCAATGTGCGTCGCGGTGGTCTGGCGGTTCAATAGCGGGCTCTGACACTGCGGACGCACCCATGACACTCAGCGCCTCGTCGTTGCATAAGCCGCCGCCCAAGCCGCCCAGCGACTCGATGTTCGATGAGTCTTCGGATACTGACTCGGACGATCTATACCCGTAAGTACAATGCAGATATTCTTAACGCAATCATAGGTACCTCAGAAACAGATAATATGTATAACTCTTTAGTGGATTACTCCATTTATATTCTTCTAATTAACTTCGTTGCGGATTTCTGATCTTTCCGCCGTTCTACCGGAACTACTCAACTTTCAGTGGGGGGTTCAATTCAGTTGTAGATCAAGGCTGTACCAGGTTGAACTAGAAGCGAGATGTGGATTGAGTGAGTTAACATGGGATAAATCGACAACGAGTGTCCACGACCGTCTTTTACTGGACTTACCTTGGGCTACATATTGTGCAAGGAACAAGCTACTTTTACAAAAAATGCCGACTTGTTTTCATCGTGAAAGTGGCGCCTCCTTAGTGTCAAATGAATCTTGAAACTCCTTTGAAGAGACTCACATTTTGTCGTACTATTTGTTATTTAAAATGCATCCATTGTCTACAGCGGCGGCACAGGAGTGGGAGTGCCGGGCGCACCAGGTGCGGCGGAGTTAGCGGCGGCGCTGCGACGACTCACGCCTCAAGAGATCAATTCCCGTCGGGCCTCACTAGCCGCCTCGCACATCTTGAGGCATCGCAGGCATACAGGTCTGTACACTTTGGTGTCTTATGATGTGGTAATAGGGGTGATTTTGCAATAATGTGCAGTCTATTATGCTGATGACTAGCGGCCCAAACAACTTGAATGTCTACCACGGCTGGACATACCTTAAATAAACTTTGGGAGTTCAGCCGATCCTCAGTTATCCATTTAGAAATGGCAATATTTTTTATCATCGTCCTGATTGCAGAAACCAGAAAACAGGAATTTTGATACGGTTTGCTACAGTAAACAAGTTTTGTATTTATACCGTTAGTAATATGGGTAGTAAACTGAAGTGTCGTAAACACGTTTTCGTGTCACTCACGGGACTGCCTAAAAATTTCAGTCCATATTTGCAATTTACAAAATGCACATTGTATTTCTATATGAAACGTACCTACTTCCCTTACAAATACAAGTTATTGTGTACGTTTTGACGTATTCACGAGTTTGCATTGCCCTGACAGATCGAGATTCGAGCGAAGAGAGTGCGGTATGGGGCGCAGGCGCGGCCGGCGGACTGGCGAGGTTTAGGCCTCCTCACAAACTGCAGATTGTCAAACCGATGGAAGGCTCGCTGACTCTTCACACGTGGGCGCAACTGGCGAAGCCTACTATGTCAGGTAAGCGTCTTTTGTTTGCAGAAATGTTAGCATTTATTCTGATGTAGGTAACATTTTGTTTTTGTATTTATGTTACGGTCAAAGTGATAAATGTAAAAATTATGAATAATCGCCGGTTATTATGAATAATTACCGCATGGTTTGGTAAATGTGATTAATATGAGGTCATTTATGTGTGTATAAAACTAAATAAGCGGCTTAGGGGTGGCCCAAGAGCCACCCCCTCCGCACCTTAACATATTTTTCACTTTAAATCAAAACATTATGTTATAGGCATCATGGAAAAGTAATATTATGCAAGAAACATTCCAAACTCATTATGCCAAATTATATTAATATATGATATCAAAACGTTCAAAAGTTTGGCTGTACACGAGCACGTACACAAGATGTTGTTCTCTTTTATGAAATTTGTTAGTACTAAGGTTGAATTATTAAATAATCACTGTTAAATGTGATTAATTTATCACTTTTACCGCGACTGTCGGTAATTATTCATAATAACCGGTTATTATTAATAATTTTCAATTTATCACATTAACCGTAACAATTATATCTGGCAACTTTAATTAAATAAAGAACAGGTTTAATTGGTAAGTCATGAAGACAACGCCCAACAAAGTTTCCAGAAACAATTTAAGCGTGATGCGTGCAGGTTACATTACCTTTTGACATTAACAAGGATAAATGTCGCGTGAGCGAAATCGAGTTAATTAATTACCAAGTTTTAACTGCATAATGTAATTGTGGTGTCATGATTTTATGGCTAAAAGCTTTTATAATAAAGACAACTATGCAGATGTTTTAATGAATGTAATTTTAAATTAAAATTATAAACAAGCCAAGGTCGCTCCGCAAATGCAAGAACTATATTAGTAATTCCTCAAAACCGCTGTGAATGGTCACGCGACCATTGTTCGTAGTTTTTTTTCTCTCACTTGTTCTAAAGTTGTTAATGAATAAAAAACGAAATAGATTGTTAATACACGTTCAATAGAACAATACGGTTGGATAAGTATCATTATACACTGCGTTTGCCTAGTAAGCGTTAACAAAGACGAAGGACAAGAACAAAGGAGTTGTGTGCAAGCTAAGATTGCTAGAACATAGGCATAGACTAGACTGGCGCTTATGTATCTCCACAATCTTATCAACACTGATATCGGTCACGTAACTTGTTATTGCATTCAATAATATTTACCTTAAATTATGTCAACAGCACACATCGATGGCAGTTGTTATTGGATTTCTCTTTGCACTAGTTGTGTGGTGTCTAGATAGTGTTTATCTAAATGGGTTGGTTTAAAAGTGGCAGTGGTGATTGAGTGGTTGTTGTTTCGCCAGGTCTTTTGGAGGAGCAGGAAGGCGTAGGCGTTCGCGGGTCGAGGTCGGCTGCAGCGCTAGGCCTCCGAATGTACCGGCTATCGGACGTTGAGGAGGACGATGATATGCCAAGACTACCGCATTCGAGTCACATCTACACGTTTACAAACAGGTATTTTTTTAGTATTTCTTTTTTAAGTCATTTTTGAAGTGTCCGTGACCTAACACCTTAGTTCTATGACATGCGTCTGTGTCGTCAAATAATTACGATACACTCTTGTAGTTCCAGCTTCAAAAACTCATTTTTGTCGTTTCTGTACTTCAGTATGGAGTATTTTCGCGGAAAAATGTTACATTATCCTCATAAGTCATCGATAGCGGGGACCACCCAATGATTATAAAGTTAGGACCTAACACGCTCGCTTTCATCATTTTAGCCAAAAGACGTCCACTGTTGAACACGTGTCTCTCCCAATGATTTCCATATTGACCGGTTGGTCAAACCGCTAAAAGTGACCGCTACCAATAGCGTTTGTTCATTGGTTTAGGTCTGAAAAGTCAAGCATAAAGAGTTTCTTTAGATTTTGACCACGTAATATTCCCATCTGCAGTACTGTGCTGCATCCCAACGACGGCAGCCTGGCCAGCTCGAGCGTGAGCAGCGTGTGCAGCAGCGGCATGAGCAGCCTGGCCAGCAGCGTGCTCGGCAGCGCCTGGAGCTCGCGCCTCACCTCGCGCAGGTATAAGGCGACTACCCTCCAGTCATCATGACAGCACGTGCTGCACCAACGACGGCAGCCTGGCCAGCTCGAGCGTGAGCAGCGTGTGCAGCAGCGGCATGAGCAGCCTGGCCAGCAGCGTGCTCGGCAGCGCCTGGAGCTCGCGCCTCACCTCGCGCAGGTATAAGGCGACTACCCTCCAGTCATCATGACAGCACGTGCTGCACCAACGACGGCAGCCTGGCCAGCTCGAGCGTGAGCAGCGTGTGCAGCAGCGGCATGAGCAGCCTGGCCAGCAGCGTGCTCGGCAGCGCCTGGAGCTCGCGCCTCACCTCGCGCAGGTATAAGGCGACTACTATGTCTTTCAGCTATGGCCACGTCAAGGTCGTGGCGTGCATGGTGGTGATGACCACGACAGATATTGAAATCATCATCATCATTTCGGCCATGGGGCGTCCATTGCTAAACATAGGCGTCCCCCAATGATTTCCATATTGACCAGTTGGTAGCGGATATTGAACTATTGATAGTGACTGGAGCTCGCGCATGTACTCGTTGGTAACGCTCCGCCGAAAGGTGGTCCATCGATATTTACGTCCATGCTACGGCCATTCAATAGTTCGCCTTCGCGGTGGCCTAGACGATAACTAAAGATAACGAACTACGATAGTCGACTACGAAAAATAGCATATCGAAAATGACTATTATTATAAGTTTGTGATCGTTTTTTACAGACAAAATTTTTTAGACTAAGTTTCGCGAGTCGAAAGCCACACACTAACCAGCCTTCACCCGCAGATCATCCGCCGCCGTCTCCCCCGTCCTCTCTCGGCGCGAGTCGTTCTGCGCGCCGCCACCCCCCCGCGCGCACTTCACCCCCACCGCGACGCCGGCCAACAGCCCGCTGCTCGGCTCGCCGGAGTCGTCGCCGCCGCCCACGCCGCGGCCCGGCGACGCGCCGCCGTCGCTCCATGCGCTAATAGCCAGCGGCACTTCCATACTGAGGCGCAGGTACCTTGGGGGCACCTCGCCCGCGTCGGACGGATCGCCCGCGCCGCTGGCGTTGCAGACGCCCGGCTCTCTGTACACAGGTAAGCTTGAGGAATCATTTATGATGCGCTTTGATCAATTTTTGAAAGTTGTGCGACGCCAAACTTTGACTTAGGGCTGATTTTTTATCAATCGTCAGATATCTTTTAACTGAAGAAAAAACTTGTCATTTTGACATATTGTGATACTGAAACTGTCAATATGCCAAACTTATTCTTCAGACAAAAGTTATCCGACTATTGAAAAATCAGCCCATAAATGTCAATTGTTCGAAATTTCTAGTTACTTAGAAAAGATAATGGCTGTCTTTCAATGGCAATCGCAATCAGTTTCAAACTGGCGCTTTAATTAAGAGCACTGAAATTAGGTTATCTTAGTTTGTTTGCCATGATAAGTAAGTGTATTTGTTATAGTTTTAATGACCTTTTTTGTATCTATTCAGGTCTCGTCCATCGCAGTCCAATGGAGCAGCTGACGTGTCTCAAACGGACGCTGCGGTCACCAGCGGAGCGTCCGCCCGAAGAGCGGGAGGCCGAGGCGCCCATGGGAGTCCCCGCGCACCCGGGCGAGGGAGCCCTAGAGGCCACGCCGAGCACCTCCCGCAGGCCGGCGCGGGGGCGCGCGCCCCGGCCCCGCGCCGACCTCGGCACGGTCGACGCGCCGCCCCCCGCGAGCCCCGCCGCCAGATCATCCCCCCTAGGGACGCTCAGCCTTCTTTTCGGACGGAAAGGGGGCCTTCTGTAGAAGCGATCGATCGCTCGACGCCCGATCTGCGCGGCGGGAGTTCAAAAATGTGATTGTGGTAGCGCGTCCACTGAGCTTTTGTTTTTCAACGCGATCCCGTGTTTCGGTTTCGCCGTCCACGGCCCGGGCCGCGGGCTATTCCCGCGGGCACCGTCGCCCACGCTCAGGCCTCTTTCCGATGAGAAAGGTAAGGAGCGACTTGAAGTAGTTGAGTTGGGATCGACGGGTCGACGCGTCCTCGCGGCGGTCGTCTGGGCCGATGGAATTTTTCTACGGTACCTTTTATTTTTATTTTTTGACGCAAAAGCGTCCATTAGCTGATGTTTTTTTTTACGTTTTGAGTAGATTTACAAATTGTGATTATGTGATTTTATTATTACCTTTTGACTCTTTTATTTTTGGTAGCTAATTTTTTCGCCTCTCAGTAATTGCTCACATGCATTTAAACGACTGACCGCCGGATATAGAATATCCGATTTGAAGGGGCGACTCAGTTCATTGGGCATTTTAATTAATCTCTCTCAAACATTCCTACAAAAGAGCTCAATGGTTACTAATCACTAATGCGGTTGATGCGAAGACTTTCAATAACTACGTTTTCAATCGTGCCCTGAGAGATGTGTCGCGTGGACCAAGCGCTCACCTAATTTGCAATTTATTTACATATTATTATTTTCTATGCTGAAAACCACTATGTAAATGGTTTCGATTGTACGATTTGTTTGATACTTAATTTACGACTCGATTGATTTTTGAGATGGAGAGTCCTTGTTGCTTAACAGCCTGTAGTATTATAATTTTCGAAGGGTTGTAATTATTATTACTTAGTTAAATAGTGAGACTTAACAAATAGGTTTTGTAGACGCTTTTAAACGAACTTTATTAAATCATCGGTATCAAAATTCTCATCATATGTTATCAATCAAGCTTATGATTATGTTGTTTAGTGATTAATAAATCGTGTATTCATTGTAAATAATCAATTTTCCATTAATTTAGAAGAGTACAAATTATTTATGTTTAATCGAAAGGTTACATTGTAGTGACAAACAGTCGATTGTTATTTTCAATACGTATTGATAGATAATTGTTCAAGTTTGCCAGATAAACTATCATTTGCATAAAGTTGATGTAAATAATACATTTGTAGCAGGGATATTAATTTCAAAATAGGTTTCTTGATTTGTTATTTGTATAAATTTCGGTAAATATTGTTACTAACTAACGTAGGGTCTGAGTAACATAAAAGGTGCATGCCATAGATTAAGTAGTACGGAGCAAAATATTCCAAAATTCATAATAGTTTTGTGAAGGAAAAAGGTCAATAAGAAAGCCAAGGAACCGGATTCTAGCAATCAATTTAATCATTAATTTATTCAATTTATAATAGGTTATTGAAATTGGTGCTAGATAGTTATTATGCCAGTGATGTTTATTTCGGGAGTGTGATTTTTTTATCACACTGTTGTATTGTATTATTTTCATGCTGTAGTTATACTTCTAAGGCTTTACCGCAAGTTTGGTACACATTACTAACTGTATTTTAATTGCAGCTTTAATTCTGCCAAAAATGTCATTGGTAATTTCCTCTTTATGGTTTTCTTATGTTTGTAATCTATGGTTTACTAATCTAATCGGTGATAATAAAATAATGGATGTGCAAGCTCCCGGTAAAGCTTCAATTTTGTTTCGTCCAATTGAATTGAATTTGTTCAGATACTTGATAGTAGCGTATTGTAGTCAAATTGCGAGGCTGTGAGGCGATCTATTGCGTGTTGAAGAGGCGTTTGCCTGAATTTACCCATCATCACAGTGTAGGCACAAATGGTATAGTCATAAGGGCAACTTGTTGAGAATTGACGATTACAACAAAATGATAATGATTGTATTATAACAGAAATATAATTTATTTGAACAATGTAATGAGCTTTTATTTATTATGAAAACCGTTCCTTATTAAATAAATCACCTTGCGTCTCCACCAACTTCTAGAAATGGTGAATAGATGCATTTTAGCAAAATCCTACAATAATTTTAACCGCCTCTGTGGTCTAGTGGTAAGACCACCTGCTTCAGACGCAGAGGTCCCGGGTTCGATTCCCAGTGGGGGCAGATCATTCTGTTTGGTTTGGTTGGTGGTAGGGCTTGTTCTAAGTCCGCCAGGCTAGCTACCACCATCTTACCTAAGTCTGTCGCCATAACAACGTTATAGCAGGCCTCCGTCACTCGCCTATGCCGGCCGAGATAATTACCTACAGCGCGCGACAACTTCAAGTTGCAAATCAGTCCGGGCCGCCACGCGCCTGTTTGCACACGCGTATCTATACACGCTCGGTCGATCATAGTCGCAATCAAGGTTTATTGTTCCAACAGCACTGTTATTCGTCTTTATAATGGAAAATCGTATATTTAGAAATAATAATTAATTGTAGTAATTTAAATAATTAAAAATAACAGCATTTTTTTAAAATAAATTTGAAATACTTATGGCAAAAAGCTATAGCAAAAACATTATTTTAGCTAATAAAACATTAACTGTTTGTCCAATTTCGAATTATCGCAACACTGAAGTTTATTAATAGGTACTTTGGAGATGGTACGAAATACAAACACCACTAGATTAAAGTTTTCTAATCGTAAATACAATAAATGTTTCTTAAAATTAAGTTTTTATTTATTTTACTTTGCTCATTAGATTAATTTTATTAATCTAAGCTTTGCTCATACAACCCTGACGCTTGAGCGGTGACGTAGATCAATTCTAAACACAAAAAAAATGCGCTCTTGTGAGCGTAGTAGTAAGGTTCGATTTCGAATGCACCATGTGCGTTGGATATTTTGCATTATTATTATTACCGTTAAAATGTCGGCATCTGATCCTACACAAAGGAGTGCAATTTCTGTTGCTACTATTATGTATTCTGTGGTTATAGCCTGACCAGGAACATAAAAACCCTCGCCATGTTGCGGAAAACGAATGGTACTAATTTCTTTTAATGGCAACAGTAACTAAAAACTTCATTGATATGTCACCTAGCATGTCAGTCTATTGCTGTCAAAGTGTAAACAAACTTTATTTTAAATGTGCGCAATTGATTTTGTGAATTAAATTGCTAAAATCTTTTTATAGTCAAGAAAGAAAAGTGGTTCACAATGTGTTAAAGTATTTGTCGAAGAGAAATACTAAGGGTTCGGCAATATTTTTATTGAATAATGTTTCCGACAAAGGTTGTCAAATTGACTGACATGTTTATCGTATAGTACAGTCCACTATGAAAATGAGCTGTGGTTTGTTTCAACTACCTATTTTAAAGATTTTTGTCACTTTGTAAGTGTTGAATTTTATGGAATTGGGAAAGAAGTACCGAGTTTGAAGCGTTCATGAGCAGACATTGCAGTTGAATATTCAAGTTCTGAATTTGATTATTGATGAATAATAAAATAAATCCTACTAGCTCGATTGATAGTTTCATTTAATTTATTTAAACCAGGTTACCTATAATAATATGTTTTCGTTAATTTATGAAAATATCAAATTAGCCCGTAATCCTGAATCCTGATACATAAAGTTAGGCTATTAATTTAACACAGGTACGACTGTACTCAGTGTTGCACTATCAAATGCAATTGACGCGCCTCTATGCCAGGGTTTTTATGTTCCTGGTCAGGCTATAAAAGCATTGTGTTCCGGCAGTTAGTTAAGACAGCCAGTTCCTCCGTGGTTGAGGATTCCGGGTGAAGCTCGCTTCCACCTTCGGCCTGATCGTCACTTACCATCAGGTGAGATACAGGCCAAGAGCTTCCTCGATGTGGATAAAAAAAATATTATAAAAGAAGAAATAATTTTATTCCTTAGTCAAGAACAGCTGTGTTTTAAAAGTTTTTTGTGTTTGTGTGCTTGTTACTATGGAAACTGAAGTAACACAAACAACATTGATAAATTGACAAAATCAAATCGACAAAGTGAATTTAATAAAAATAGCGTTGTGTTTAGTTCGTAGCATTTTGTTACAAACTAGCAAAGCAATATGACGGAGCAAATAAAGTTCATAGTAAAGGAATTGAATTCTAACTTGGGCAGGAACTACGACTTGATCAAGTTCGACTCTTTGAACGAGAAACAACTCCTGCAACTTTTAGTGGACTTGCTGGTTAATTTCAATGCAGGAGAAAAGGTAATTACTTTGTTATATAAGACATTAGTTTTTATTTATTTACGTATAGTAGACCTTTCTCATCCAGACTTACTAATGACAAGACCACCAAGCATACAATGAGACCGGTTGGGGGTACCCAAAAAAAAACATTGATCTTCCTTCTCGTGGGCAAAGCATTTGAGCAGTAGAATCAATCCTTTACGTTTGATACACCCCCAACATGGGTCACCTTGTATAGGTCAGAAGTTACTAAGAAGTAAGTTTTTATGGTAGGTATTCAAAATCATCTTTGGGTAAGATTAAATGCAATTTATTTTTACATAATATTTACAACTTTAATAAAGGTATTATTGTTATTGCATAAAACGTCGGTGTGCAGAGAGCAGCGTAGCAAATTTTAAGGGCACCTTAAAAGTTTATAAAAGCGCAAGAGGCAAGTCGACACTTCGCTTCACATAGTTGCAAAGCTTGTTCTTTTACAGCTGAAAGCGGGTGTCGGGAATAGTCGCAACGTCATCGCTGTTCACGTTAAATCGAAATGAAGTGAATAAAATGTAGCTTTTGTAGTCATATTGAAATAGTTTATGGACGGTCGTGATCCCGCATTCTTGATTTCTTTGTCTCTTTTATATGAGATATTAGTAGGATACTGTTAAAAGTACTCTGACTAATTAAAAGGGTCAACTAATTGCCCTTACGTTTGTACAAGACTTACAAGACATGACAACAAGTAGGTAATGACCTCAGATCATAGCTATGATCTGAGGTAATGACTTATATCCACAAAGTTCATAAGGCGAAACGCATAAAGAATTTTTTTTAAACTTCTGACCTTTGTATTTTTACCCACAGTTGGACATAAATGAAGACGATTCCGAGACGGTCTCGGTGCGTCTTTTGGAAATGCTGGGCAGCGTGAAGTATCGGCCACCAGCGAGCGTAGAGCCGCCGCGTTTCAGGGCGCAACTCTTAGCTGGTGATGCCAGAACTATCCACCATGTGCTGCACTGGCTGCTGACAAACAAGGAACAAGTGAAGAATACTGCTTACCTCGCCAAGTAAGCTATTTGTAGTTTCGCTTTCAGGGGAGTAGGGGAAAGTAGTACGAGTTGATCCCCTGGGGTAAGATGATCTTTCGCGATTGTGCTGAAACCACTAACGTCATTTAGTTTCTTTCACTGGTAAAACATAGCTCTGGACACATCCCCGCCTCAGTCAAATCGTAATGGTGGCGTGAGCGATACATCGAATTTGACGAGAAAAAAGAAAAATTATGTACTTCTGATCTAAAATAGGCATGACTTTGAGCTTATGTTACTTTTGTTCAAACAATGTTAAATGTAATTACTGTTGTCGTTAGGCTTTCTATTATGTTTAATTTTAATATTTTGGCCATAAAAACGTAGCCGCGTACTTGTAGATTATTTTAGCAAATATTTAACAAAAAGTGGGACTTGGGTCAAGATGATCCCTTGCTATATGTACGAGATGATCCCTGGGAATTAAAACAAAAAAGTCAATGGAGTAGGTAAAGGGAAGTGAAATAAAAAAAAAGAGAACTTTATATAACTCACCTGAGTCTGAAGGAGATGATACTGAGTGGCTGTGCTGAACAGAAAAGTTTTCAAGCGATACCAAGGGTGAAGGATGGATAAAATGTTATGCATGTGGAAAATGGGGCCATAAAGCATGTGCTGGGGTAGAGGTTGATGAAGCAGGTGAATTTATTTGTGATATATTCAACACAGCTCCAGCCAAAAAGCATTTCAATTATTTAAACGCTTTTTAGCAGCTACTAAGAAAGAATCAGTTATTTTCGTTATTTAATTCGTAAATGTTTTTCTTTTCTAACTTTTTAACGATTTGTTCGCACAATTAGGTACTCCGAAAGGAATATAACCAGAAAAGAATAGATCATAGAACATAATCACAGGGATCATCTTACCCCTACCTGGGGGATCATTTTACCCCTACCTGGGGGATCATCTTACCCACAGGGGTGTACAAGATGATCACTTTGTAAGGTTTTGCAAAAAATGAAATATTTTAATGAAACCTCAATTAATTTCTGGTTTTGAGTATAAGGAAAGTTGGTTAGATAAATATACTAGTAGTAATCGTCTTTATTTTTGGTTTACCTTGAAAAATATGTATTTTACAGCGATTCCCGCTTAAGGGGATCATCTCGTACTACTTTCCCCTAATGCTGGCGTATCTTGGATCCGGTATGGGACAGAGCGCTAATGATGTCACTAAAAGAACTCACGAAGAACGCTAAATAAACTTGACCACCTGTAAATAGTGAATTAAGTAGTGAAAATATCGTTCGTGGGCATTTTGTAACAATTTCATGGAATGAAGTAGAGTCGCCGCAACTCTGGGCATACTTATCTGCTACGACTATTTACTTGTTACAAACATTTTGCATCTCAATGACGCCAAACTATTATTCACGCGCTAAAGTTATTTCTCGAAAACATTTCATTTAGTAATCGTAAGCGCATGCATGACCGAGGTGATGACACTGTGTTAGTAAATAAAGCGACAATTATTTTTATATCGCAACTGCGGTTTATTGATCTCATTAAATGAGCTTGGCACGGAGATTACAATAGAAATAGTTGGTACAATATTGGCGGAGCCGAAATTAGTAAGAGAGGCAGGTTTGCTGGCACGTGACGTGCACGTTTATTTCGACGTTCCTTGATCACATGTGGACGTACCGTTAGAAGCGGCATTATCAGCGCTTTGGTGCGCAATTGTTTCTATTTACAACATCGTTAGCTAATTTTGTTTGTTCAATCAAGCTACATAACAATTTACGTGTCTATTAATGACACATTTTGATTGCTGTTTATGCTGATCCTACTATAAACGTAGCTAAATATGTCTATAAAATGGTTACCTACTACTTACGTTACATTGCATACACTTTATTACCTTTTTTGGTACCTCCCTAAAAGTACCTACCGAAAACGTACAACGACCTTACAATAAAGCTTTTCATCATTTTCCCATTTTAAAAGCCAAATTGATTGATGAGTAGGTATTCAACGTTTTCAAAAGGGTTTTTTTAGACAAATGAGTCCCAATCAAAAACCTATCACTTAAATCCGGCTTGTGTTCATTTGAATTGTATATCCGATGTGTTACTTTATATCAATTTAATAAAAGCTATTCACATAATGGATTAAGTATAAAAAAATATGAAATCGCAAAATCTGCTTTATTGGGTATTAAAAGACGCGAAAACCTTAAAATAAATTAATCAATATTAGTATCTATTTTATTTTTAAACAATGTATACTTCTCTCTATGCAGGTATGTTTATACTGTGACTCTGTGTACACATAATACGACTGTTGTCATTGATTGAGTACCTACCGGAATCGGAAGGCATTGTGTATGTGAACTAATTAGCTACCGTTGTATAATTAGTTACCGGCGCGCTAGTAAGTGGCAGGTATAATGTTTAATTATTCCGTCTTCTCTCCATTTGTTACGGCTTTTACATCCACTAAATACAAATAGGTAAATGAGTAGGTAAATTACCAACTGAATGTTGTCACGGAAAAAAAGTTTAAAATAGGTAAACCTTTGAGATTTTATACTTTTTCTGTGTAAGTTTCATTATTGAAGGCAGTTCGTAGCCTACAGATCTGATATTGGTTAACATTATTTCATTTTTATTTTCGTTGCTGTTGGTACACATTCACAGAGTCTTAGAAACATATCCTATTACAAATGACGACGTAATCCTTAATAATAAAGTGATACCTTGTAATATTACATATTACGTGTAATTCCTTAGGTATCTGAAGATTCCTGACATCCCTACTGATGTGGCGCAGAATAATACTATCCAGGACATGTTGGATTTGTATCATAACCTTATGGATGAGTTCAAGGAGGTCCACAAAAGAACGAGGTTACTACAAAAGGAAAACTCGTCTGAAATTATTAATGACATAAAAGAAATGGCGGTCGAGAGAGATATTGGTGAGTGTCCGGGATACGCAGTACGCTACGAAACAATTCCCATTTCCCGAACAATTTGCTGGCTCATATTTCATTAATATTAATTGCTTAACCCTTTAACATGAACTGAAATTGTCTCTACATAATAAAAATACTTAATAATCTGTAAGTATGAACACTCGTATATTGTTATATAAATCGGTATTTATTTGTTCATAATACATAAGTAAATGGTTAGAAGGAAGTTGTTTTCAGCCGTAAATACCTCCAAATAATACACGATTTTCTTTATTTAATAAGAAAAAAATGCGAACTTTTTGTGAATAAGAATAAAGCGACCAAATAAGTAAAACAGGGATTTTTCACCATTTTCGACATAGCAAGCTGGTATATCAGGCAGGACTAGATATTATGTGTCTTTGTTGGTTGTTCCAGTTATTAAGAGATTAGAAAACGTGCAAGTGAACTTAGTCGATATAAGCAATAAGGACGAACTACTCAACACAAGCAGAAGTTTAAGAATGCAGCAGGAAAAAACAAAGGAACTGGAAAATCAGGTGACTGCGCTCATGTTTTAGCGTGTAATAAAGGATTGTTTTGCTAGTGAGTGATGTACTTGGTATATCTTTCGTAACATCGATGTTTTGCTGTACGACAATATCTCGATACGATATCGATCTCTATTTTTATTTTAACGCTTAAGTGCCGAGAATCATGTAGATGGTAGGCTAATTTTTCCAAAATCACTTAACAGTCGGGTTGGTAATATCGTCTCTTTGTGTGAATACGACCTTTTAATTTTTAATGAAGCGGTTCATTTGACTATCCTGTTAAATTATTCCAGTATGAAACCCAGCAATCACAGTTAAAAATTGCATCAGATCAGCTAAAAAGATATCTGAACGTAATCCACGGACAGAGCGCGGCTCCGAAGACAGTTAATGACGTCATTAAGCATTTGAAAGAGGAGGTTCAGGTATACATCCCCCAATATTTTTTTAAATTGCTATCGGAAACATAATTTGATTGTAAATGATATCGAGTCTTCTTTTAATGAGAGAATATTATTTATCGGTCCTCTAATCATTATCTTACAGGATTTTATATTAATTGCTTTGAAAATTAAACTGACTTTTCTGCTTATATTTTGTTACAGAATGTTTTAGAATTCTGTTTTGTGCGAGTTAAAAACATTTTCTTGAATAAGATGAGGATCGTGTAGCATTTTCCACTGGAATTATTACAGTCACGTCTGCACATTATTTGTTATTCTTTCTTTCAGTTAAATAGTTACCTTGTAAAGGAAAAATTGCCACAGGAAACTGGCAACCTTCAGAAAGAACTGAGCATTATGCAGAACATTGCCACGGAGAAACATCTCACTCGGTCCGACTTAGTGTTAGTGCAAGACAAGGTTAGACTTTACATCTTCGTATTTTGAACTTTATTTTTATGCAGTTTTCGTGAGCAAATGTACTAAGAATAGGCTAGTTGCCTAAAAAAATTTTTTTAGTCCGTAATGTTTAATATCAAAAAATATTGGACACGTATATTTTTATTTGTCAATCTAACAAATAATTACATAGTTATGGTGCGTTGAAGTTGCGCACGACGTCACAACGTGCGGCATTTTTAAGCAAGCGTTGACGTCACGGGCCTCTTCTTATGAACTTTGGGGCGCGTTATCTCTTTAAATTTTCCTTAGTTTGAAAAAGTGAATAATACGTGTAGAGTATTTTTTGATAAGTTAACTGACGGACTAATTAAAACTCTTGCTTTTTGACCCAGGCAACATCCCCATTGTTTTAGAAATAACAAGACCCATGTTGCTAAGAACACACATAATGATGCTTCTTAACTTATTCTCTTTCATTCTTTACTCATATTTTTGACTAGGTATGCAGTATGCACCTATTTCAGTATTTACATTTTACACGTTAAGTAGTTATGTTAGATACTGAAACAATGTCATGTTTGTTACGTTTTAGGAAGTGTCAATTTTACTTATACGAAAATTATAATATAGGTACAAAGAGTGATAAAATGATGGAAAGCATTGAGGGAGGCCTATTTTCAGCAGTTGACGTCCTATGGCTGAGATGATGATGATGATAAAATTTAATGATGTGGTATAAAAACTTTGCGTTCACAATCAGATAGGTGTTAATATCATAATATTTGGAAATCCCAGATAGCAGTAGTGAACGGTGAATTGGAGCAGCTGGTGCAGCGCCGCCTGGCTTCCAGCGGCCCCCAGGAAGACAAGCTGGCGCCGTTCAGGCAACAAGCAGCCGTGATCCGACGCAATAAGGACGCGAGTGCTGCGCGGGTGCACGAGCTGGCTGCTAGCTTGAAGGAGTATGAGGCTACACTGGCAGATCTGCAGTCGCAGGTAAGATTGAAAACAATGTCTTAAATATACTCAACATCAAATAAATCGCACCTTCCGCGACGCGAACTCTAAAGATTTTCTTCTGACACAATCATGGTGCCCCAACAATATTGGTGTTATTTGAAAGCCCAATAAATAAACTTAAAGAAAAACACATTTAATTTTTTATAAACAATTAACAGGTACCAGGTAAATGTGAATTGATAAAGGCTTCACTTGGGGCTCACCTCTGGGATCAATTAGATCATTTTTTGTTGTTATAAAACTAAATAATGATCTTACGTGTCCTTTTTAACAGATGGATAGCGATTAATCCCAATTTAATAGTTTTATAGCCATAAAAGTTGGCTTAAGCGTAACTACCTATTTTTTGAAGAAGTGACTCTGGATCCTTCTGAAAACACATTTGTGGGGTAAAAATGTTTCCTTTAAAATGAAGCTTAGAACTAGGCTTTCAAATGGAACCAATGTTGGTGGGAAGTGGGGATGCATACGTTTGAGAAGTGCTTGTTGCGGGAGGTGCGATTTATTTGATGCCGAATGTATTTACCTATCAGTTTGATCTAGAATCCTGCTACTAGGTTCTCTTTCAGTATGAGCCGCTGTCTGATTTGCCGTCGCAGGTGAAATCATGTCAATACAATTTCAATACTGCTATATTGCTGCTATATGGAGGCAAGCTTGCAGCATGCAGTTATCAAGCAGCTGTGATCAGGTGACAAGAATGAGAGTGCGATCACTCTCTGAAACCTAACTGAAAATCTTGTTACCGTGTGATTTCAAATCGGTATAACATTTCAATTAAGAATGCTGAAAACTGAAAAACTGAAACCAATGAGAAGGAAAAGCCATTTCTTAGCCTATTCAATGCAATTAAAAAGCGCATATGAATAGGTATTCAAACTCTTGCGAAGTAGGTCAATGTCGAGTTCTACAGGCACCAAGCAGCGACAGCCGCAACAATCGAAATTGCCTTTAGATTTTTACAGCTCAAATTATTTATCCGCTTACAATTAAAACATCTTCAGATGTATTTATTCGTGACAAGGAGGCATTCACTATTGTTAATTTGAAACTTATACTTAGCTGAAACTTGTGCCGTTTGTGACTATTAACATTTATTATAATATCTTGAAAAAATCTAATTTTTATCACACTCGCAGCGTCGCAGGACAAATTATTGTATGTAGCAATACTAACTTAACCCAATTTCAAATTGAGATTCAATGTTTTTGAATGGCTTGAATAAATAAAATATTGTTTTCATATTAGAGCAATCAATTATATAAATGGTAGTGCGGATGCTATTAATATGAGATAGGTTCATAATTCGTTTTCGATTCGGGTTATATTTAATCAATGAAAATTTCAAGTGGTTTAAGCTCAGTTCTGATTGTGCGAGTTAATTGAAATCTATAGCTAGCTTGTCTTTTGGGGTCTACCGCGCGGTAATCGGCTGATCGGTCGTCGATAAAACATTTTCTCATCTCGAATAATCGCTTCTTACGTCACAGCTTTGAGATTTGACTGACTGCGGTAATGCGCCTTTGAGATTTATGAAAAAATACTTTGATTAGGCTTATCGAAATTCAGCTGTACATTTAATACCGATCGTATTTCAGATTCAGCTAAATAACCAATACCATTTTGCGTCTGTTTTTTCTTATTAACATATTTTATCAGCTATTAAATAATATAGATAAGAATACTTTCGCATTAATAAGAGTTTATTTGTATAAGTATTCTACATGCAAGTATTGACAGTGTAGCAGTGTCGGAGAAGTGACATGTAAAGTAACAGAGCTGTCTCGGCATACAGGAACCTACTCAGTTATTCGCTATGCCTGTAGTTAAAAAATTAATAAGGTGCAATAAAGTTAACTTAAACGAGTATTTTATCGTTGTAAAGGTGAGGCAGTTACTCGGCGATACGGTGCTTCGTGGAGAAGAATTGAAGAAATACGTCAATTCACTGCGCACCAAGAGCACAGTGTACAAAAGGCAACGAGCCAATCTTTCTACGTTCAAGGTGAGCCCTTGATTTATAATAGCTGCCCGAGGATCCTCATTTATCTCAATTTGTGAACGATATTAACACTACCACCTGTTCTATCTGCGCAGGTTGAGACGGGGATTTTAACGAGAACCCTAAACATAATTAGCGCAGCCGATCCAACTGTCGAAATGGCACTGGTGAATCACAAAAAGTTAAAAATTGACGATGATGAAGCGATGGAAAAGGACCAAAATAAAACGGATGATTTGGCCAAGAAATCATTGCATGACTTGTCGCAGGTAAATTTATTTTGATTATGATGTCTTTTGTTTCAAATGAAGTATATAAATAATCTACATAATACAATTCCTTGTAGCTGGTAGCGCAAACTGCCCAAAAGCTGTCACAGGTCCGTCAGGAGATTCAACCGTTGGCAGACAAAATAAAACCCATAAAAGAAGAATTTCAAACTGTACAACAACAGTATGAACAGAAGAAACGAGTATACGAAGCGACGTCGATAAACATAACTTCGCAAATGGAACCACTTAAAAACAAAGTAAAAGAGTTGACCGACCAATTGAACAGTAAAGAGGACGAATGGAAAAACTTACGGCAAAAAATAACAAAAGCGGAGAGTCTACAAGAAGTTGTAATGCTTGAAATGAAAAATTCAATGCAATCGCCGCGAAAACCATCCAGAATTGAAGCGCTGAAGAAAAAAGTGGCTGATATGGAACAAATAGTAAAGAATTTGGAAGAGGTACAGTCAGTGACTTAATTTTTCTTTTTTTTTTAAACTAATTACAGTGCAAAACACACTGTAGAGTCACGTAGAGTTCTGAACGTGGGAAATTTTGTATTATTCGAGTTTCATGCGTCATGCATGCCACTCAGAAACTAGCTGTAGTGAGGTGGCGCATAAAATCGCTTTCCGCAGGTCCCCACCGCTTCAGTGTGTTTTGCTGTTTACACCCTATTCAAACAAAAGCCTTTACTTGTCCTTATAGGAACAACGAGCGATAAGTTCCCGCCAGGGCGTGGTGGAGGAGCAAACCAAGCTGTGGGAGAACACTCTGCAGCTGCTTCGCTGCAAGATGCGCGCGCGCACCGAGCCCGCCGCGCGGCAAGGACACATGCACATCACTCAGCATTCACAAATGCTCACGCTTACCTAAACTCTACATTATTACATAGGTACTAAGGTCCGTATTACGAAACAAGGTTCAGAACTCGATTCTATATCAGTCGTAGATTCTGCCTTAAGATTGGTGATATCTTGAAATTAAACCAATTAAAAGCCTCAATCTATTTATTGATATGAATCTAGTTTTCAGCTTCCTTCTGCTGTAATAAGTACATTAGAAAAGCGTAATAAGAAACTTCGTAAGTAGTCGGCACTATTCTTCACTAATGATTAACGCCATCTATCAATACATTATCCTCATCATTATTTATTTTATTTTTCTCACATTGCAACACCAAACCAAACTGTATTGGTATTGGCAATAAATATGTAACGGTTTTCAGCATCCCCCGAATAAAATTCAGTAGATATTATGTAAAAATGGTCTTTATTTAATCCCTACCCTTTGTACTTTCGTCCACAATATCTCTTTGGGAACTTTTAAAACTTTACCCGGGTATTAAAATGGGTCAGAACAGAACGGGGAAAGTTAAATAAGAATGCAAAGTATTGAGGTAACGTTATGGGATGTTTATCATAATCAGGCTCACTTTACTTCGGAAAAAGAAAAAGGAGAGTGATGAATATTAAAAGATTCTATTGTTGCCTCAAATTAAATTACCTACTTTAGAGTTTTTCATTATCATTATAATGGGATTCGTGGAAGTTAAAAGAATATTTAATTTTAGTCAGCTGTTTTGCACACTTTTTTGGAAAGTAGATAAGTCGGAAGGATTTAAGTGGTTTTTGTATTACGTATAGGTAATAATTATATGTATAGAGTACAGCGACAATATATCAATCTGTTACCTCAGTTGCTCCGAAATTCGGATAACTTTTAATTTCTGTATTAATGCACTACACACACACTGTACAATACTTAATTTTTACTATTTAAATAACAACATCGTTACTCTGAAATTCAAAGTTACTAAAGGTAACTACATAAAATTAACAAAACCCGCAGTCCATTTCATCAGTCAACCACAGTTCGACGTCATCTAAATTCCGGGCGAATATGTCACCCGGCGGCAGAAGCGGAATTATTTATTGTGCAACATAATTGTTACGCAGCCACTTTTAGCCGGGTCTATTTCCAGCAGGCACAAAGTAACTTAATAAATCTGCAATGCAGATGGGCTCGCAGTCATCCAGGCCCGGTGTCGGCGATAAAAGGTACGGGAGTTGCTCCACATTGTCACATTGTAAGCACGCGCTATGACAGCGGCCTGTTATCCAGAAATATTCCTGTACTTTCGCAAGTTAGTTATCATCATGCCAGAAAATATACGATACGCAAAGGGTGACACACGAACCAACCACAGCTCTATTCAACGCTGTGCGTTCGATTTGCTGCTTCACTTAAGCAAGCATCGTTTGTGAATACGGGTGTAAGGGATGTACCGACTTACAGTCCCTATGAATCTTGAAAACTTGCGGTTGGCATTGAAGACTAATCGATCATGTGTGTTTCAATCTACATTTGTTTTAAACTAACTCTACCTACATGTCCAAGATTGTGTAGGATTAGGTATGTATTTACTGAACAATCATCTAGTTTCGTATTTTCATAAAAAAGTAGACTAATATTATGTTATAAATATTCAAAAACGTGCCTAACATGTTGAATGACTCCAGCGAGCTAAAGTAATACGTCGCAATAAACTCCTGCACCGGTACGTAAAATGCCAAGTTGTCGAAAACCGTTTTTTACTTTCTCGAGCGGAGAGTTAATGTTTAGGAAAGTTGCCAGTAGTGCACGTTCCGCTACGCCCACCCAGCGGAACTGACAAATCGCCCTGAAGGCTCATCAATATACCCCACTTTGAGATATTATGAGAATACTGATTTTTGCATTTAAATGAGGTTTAAGTAATTTATTAATATGGGTTTATAAAAATGAACAATATTTTATTTGATAGTAATTTTGTCAATAAATAATAACTTTTTATGTCTTAAACAATTCTCTCTTGTTCGTCATAAAATAAGCATAAAATTACCATTTCTTTACTGATACTGAAGAGAAGCGGGAGGTCATAGTAAAAGTTGACTCTTACAATGATTCATTATAAAAATAAAAAATAAATAAGTGCTAACATGCACTGGCTATGTGGTCAGTTTAACTTTCCCCCAGGACAAACTTGACCTTCATTGGTTGGGTTTTTATGGCGGGCAAGCTGTAGATCCTGGCTACACAGGAGTTGCAGTGGTGGGAACGAGAGGTGGGAACAGTCCCGTTTTTTTATTGAATTAGTAGAAAAGGCTTGAAACTATTTCAAAACAATGTTAAGGGTTAGTTAAACCCGAAATGGAATTTCAATGTCATTCTTGATTGCAAATTTGTATTTCGGCGTTATTCCTAAACATGCGGCAACACCAAAATTGCTGGAGTTTGCTATTACTTTAGGTAGGTATACATTTAATTACTTCTGTTTGAGTTACGCATAAGAACCAAGTGCCAAAATACTTGCACGTAACTTGGTAATTGATTTATAACCACTCGCTTAATATACTGGGTTCATGCTGTTAATTTAATTTGGAGGTCAAATTATTGTCATTGGATACCTACCTATTGTCTCCCGTTTCTCTAGATTGCCCTAACATCTACAATTTTTCTGAGCTATCTTATTATTCTGCCTGAAAGCTTCAGTTAAATGAATAAAGATTAGATTAGGCAAATCAATGTTTCTTAATTAAATTACCAAAAGTTGTAGAGGATTTGAAAAACAACCTCCAGTGTTCCGCTGTCACCGCAGGTCGTGTGGACTGTCGGCCAACTTTTAATTTCATCTTACCACTAATCTAAAATCTGTATAACGCCCGTCGTGGGCAGGCAGACATTTCGCTAATGAGTTTTATTGTGAAAAATGAAGTTGTTACCTGGTATTATTAACTTTTGGATTTTTAAATCTCAATTTTGAGTTTTTCTTTAGTCGCGTGCGTGGGTTTTAGTACCAATCAAGTCACAAGAAGTATGAACCTTAGTCAGACATTAGAGCCACAGAGGCGTAGTTATAAGTATTGAATAGGATCAAACTCAATGGAGCTGATTTACGTGTTGATCGCAACATAAGTATTTCAGTTAAATTTAAGTCATAACCATGTTCACGTTTATAAAAATGCTATTCGTTTTTTATTCACCTGGTTGAACAAAAAGTTACCTACTCGAATCAATGAAATGAGCGTTTCAATAATAGTAGACTCATTTTCAGCTGTTACGATCTCGTAAATACCTAATCGATACGTAAGTGAGTAATTACACTTATTACATTACACTTCGTTAGCAATGAAAAGTTCCAAAGGTCGCAGTAAAACGTTTTATTGACACTAGCTGGCTTTATGTGCTCCATTTTCCATGTTACCTTCCATGATTTAAAGGTCGTTTAAAATGTGCAATGCACTTTGTCTCGAGTTGTGCTCACAAGGCGGATTGTCGTCGTTTCAGCCAAATAACGTCCACAGCTGGACAAAGGCCTCCCCCAAGGTTTTCCACAATGAACGGTCCTGCGCTGCCCGCATCCAGGCTCTTCCCGAGACCTTAGATGAAGGTGGATCGACGATATGCTAAATGGCAAAGAAGTGCTGGGATGCGAGCAGCGCTTTGGTGGTTGTGGAAATCCTTAGGGGAGGCTTTTGTTCAGCTGTGGACGTCATTCGGCTGAAACCATACTAAAATGCAAGCGTTATTAGACAAATAAGTAACTTTTACTTTATACCTATTTTGTGGAACCTCCTTCAGAAGACGTTTGACTCCATTAAAGTAAAATGTGGTAAAGTGTTTCTTAAAATTCGCCACGTGTTTGGTCAAGTTCGAATCGATAAGTAGTGTTCCTGGTAATGGCTTCTTATTTGAAAAATAAATGTGCACTGAAATAACTTTTAATACCGGTATTCTGAAAGCGTACCTAAGCACTTAGAAACACTTCTAAGCGTACCTACATTAGTCACGTTTCAAGACAACGCTTATTTCAAGAAAAGAATACAAAATATACTAAAGCGACTTCTCGTAAAAAATGCATATGAAGACTTATTAAATAAGGTCGCTCTATGACTTTTTGCAGTAGGTATTTATAATAAATAAATGTACAATTTAATAAAATACAAGCAACTCCTCATATACCGGAAATTAACGTTAAGTTACCGTAGAGATTTCTAGTAAATTCAAATGCTTAACATGAATTTGAATTTGTTTTACTGTCACACAAACCCAGCCCTAATAAGGTAGAGCCTTGTGCTATGGGAGTTACCCACTTACTGGACTTAATTTGTCACCAGATAGCCAGACAGCCCAAAAATATTTTGTAATGTTTTATCCCCAAGGGCCTATGCTATTTTTGCTAAAATACCCGTGTTTCGTTTTAGGTCATTAAACTCAAAATATATTCAAAAAGGTCAAGCTCACTCTATTATTGAATTGGAGACTCTATTTTTACGACTCTTGTCGTGCGCAAATAAACCTTCTAAATTAGGTTGTTCCCGTATGGCTATAATTTAATATGTACCTACGTTGTGTTAGGTACCTACTTAAAAATACTTTGTTTTTAGTCTTTGTTATACTTTTTACCCTCGCCCCATAATCATATTTACTTAAATGTTTATTTAGGAACAGCAGTTTAGATAGGAGGTAAATAATACTAAATCAATTAAATACCTAAAGCAAATATTATTTTATTGCCACAAGTTATGGATACACACACACACGTCTTTTATTATTTACGTGAAGTATTATAAAGTATTTAAGTACCTTAACGTCATCAAATTTAATATAATACGATGGTACTGTATAACCATGATTTATTTTTCACCATGTAGTCTTTCTTTGTTTGCTAAAACGCGTCGTGGGGGCTCCTATAAGAACCTTAACGCGGATTTCGCGCGGTTGATATTTTATTAAAACCGCAACGCGTTGTGAAGCTATTTTTTCTCCAATGAGTGTTTTCGCTCTTTGAGCCAATCATTTGCATTTTTGTTTGATCTTAAATAGCATTTTTTGTGAGAGCGTTGAAATAATAATGGTTTATGTTTCACAAAAGGCAACAAAATAATATCCTTACTTATTTATTTAATTTTTGTGTATCAGACCATTTTGAAGGTAGTTTGACATAAAACGTGAACAATAGAGATAGAGACCGATGTAAGTCGGCATATTAAAGTGGCATGCATAATTTGCATACATCTTTAAGTCTCTTAAAAAGATTTCATATTCGCTGCAAACAAGAAACAGAAGCTCCAAATCGTATAATTATATTTTTTCTTTGTTCCTTTAT